AAGTTACAGGTATTTGGAGAATCAATACTCCACTTCAAAGGATGAGAAATTATAGCACTTTTAGAGTCACTTAAAGTTGAATTATATACATACTATTTTTGCATAGGGCTCATTTCTATGGAGTATTTTAAAATCTATTAGAAACCTGCTTTGCTCTGTACTGAATACTCATTTTACATAAAAAGAATTGAGTGACTAAATTTGTTCTCATTTGGTGACTTCCAAGTCCTGGATACAATTCAGGGCAGAGTAGAACTGCCCATCACATTTTCAAGGCTATAATCTCTATGTATTACTGTCACCTGTAAGTCAGTTTGTGGTTAGCACTACAATATGCAACCTACTATGCTACCAAGGCTCCAGGAATTGATGGAATACCAACCAAAATGTTTCAAAAGGCTGATGAAGCATTGAAAGCCGTCACTTATCAATGCCAGGAAATATGGAAGACAACTACCTGCCCAACTGACTGAGCAATATCCGTAATGATAATCATTCCAAAGTAAGTAATCAACAGAATGTTCAAACTGTAGAACAAGATCACTGATGTCACATGTAATTAATAGTTTGCTGAAGATCATCTAACAGCAGTTTCAACAGTACATTGACAGCTGTCAGAAGTGCTGGCTGGATTCAGACGAGAAAGTGGAACAAAGGGTTTCATTGTTGATTTTGGATGGATCTTGGCTCACAGCAGAGAATATCAGAATGATTTTTACTTGTGTTTATTGACTCTGCCAAGGCATTTGACTGTGTGGGTCATAACAAATGATGGATAAGCTTGAGAAGGATGGAACTTTCAAAACAAGTCATTGTGCTCATTCTGAACTTGTGCATACATCAAGGCAGTTGTAGTAACAAAACAAAGAATACTGCAGGGTTTCAAATCAGAAAAGGTGTGATCAGAGCTTTCCATGTTTATTTGATCTATGTGTGGAGGAAATCATCAGAGAAGCTGAATTATATGAAGAAGAATGTAATATCAGGGTTAGAGAAAGGCTTATCAACAACAGCACATGCAAGACAATTTTGCCTGCTGAAAGTAAGGAGAATTCTTACTGACAAAGATCAAGGATTGCAGCCTTCAGTATGATTTACAACTCAATGTCAAGAAGATCAAAACCCTCACAACTGGACCAATAAGTAACATAAGGAAAAGTGGAGAAAAGGGATAAAGTTCTCAAAGACTTTGTCGTGCTTGGATCCACAATCAATGGTCATGGACACATCGGACAAAAGATCAAAAGATCTGTGTATGATATTAGGTAAATCTGCTGTACAAGACCTCTTTGGAGCATTAAAAAGCAAGAATGTTACTTTGAGGACTAAGATGCACCTCATTCAAGCCATGGTATTCCCCGTTGTATCATGTGCATGTGCAGTTGGGCACTGAATAAGCAAGACAGTAGAAGAACAGATGCATTTGAATTGTGGTGTTGGAGAAGAAAGTTGAAAGTACCACGCACTGCCAGAAAGACAAACCATTCTGTATTGGAAGAAGTAAGGCGAGGGCGCTCATTAAAAGCAAGGATGACAAGACTTTGTCTTACATACTTGGAATATTTTGTCAGGAGAGACCAGTTCCTGGAGAAGGACATCATATTTGGTAAAGTGGATAAGTGGGGAAATAGAGGGAGGCCCTCTCTGAGTGGAATTGGCACAGGGGCTGCATCAGTGAGTTCAAGCATAGGAACAATTGTGATGATGGTGCAGAGCCATGCCGGGTTTTGTTCTGCTGTGCGTAGAGTCGCCATGGGTCAGAGCCAACTCGATAGTATCTAACAACAATGGAACTTGCATCTAGTATCATCTCTAGAGAGAATTTCAGTAGGCTTAGGGTTGTGCACAGCCATCTGTATTTTTAAAAGGATCCGTAATGTTTCTGATGCATAGCCAACATCAGTGATCACACACTGAGTGGAATAGTTCACTGGTAGGCAACGATGACTTAGTTGCCTGCACTGCTCTGCTGTGCTTACATGAACCTGCACATAGTAGGACACAGAACATGCATAAAAGATGAACTTAGACTAAAATGGTGTATGAAGGTCAAATTTTTAAAAGTCTTGAGTCATTTTGCATGTATATAATGTAAAAGTATATCATAGCAAATAGTTTTGACTCACTGGGGCCCCAAATCCAATGGAGCAAAACACTGCATGGACCTGAACTGTCCTTGAAATCATTACAGTGATTGAGTCCAGTGTTGGAGCCACTTTGGCAAGCTGTCTTTTTTTGGTCTTTCTCTTTATCAATTTCCTGATATTGAATTTACATTTTGATTTCACATTTTCAAAGGAAGTTACATCTTTTATGTAAAAATGTGGTGAATGATTTTAACACCTGGGAAAGCAAATTAGTAAAACGAATAGTTCCACTAACTCTGTAAGAGAATCAGCTACAAAAGCCAATGTCACACTTATCACCTTGGATACTTGATGGAAGATGCCATATCCTTGGAGTAGTAAGTTTTCAAAATGCATATCCAGTGGGCACATTAGGATAACAGTGTGATAAACAGCAAAAAAAAATTATATGAAGCTAGTTTAATTAAATTGATTTTAGATAAGAAAAAATGTTATCTCATGAACAAAATTCATTTAAAGGAGAACAGCCATTTTTAAACTTAAGACCACCATTAATAATATAAATTTATGTTAGAGAAATTAGTGTTTAATACAGTCTAATGATATAGTGTAGTAATGCTCAAGAATTTAAACTTAATTTAATTTTAACATTGGGGATTGTACGGAAAATGTATTTTTTTATGAAGAAAAGTTTTAAATCAGATATTTTAATAATTACAAACTACTACAGATTTCAATATTTTAATAAGATTCATTTAGCTCTAAATGTCTTCTAAGCATGTTGTAAATCTTCCACAGCTCGTGCTTTGCAATATAGCTTTTTAACATGTTCATTGTCTTTTTTTGCTATTCCATTAGCCTGTTGTATGATTTATTTCAAAGATAAAATGAATGCCTTCCATTTTCATTCATAACTACTTAATGTAGATTTATAATGACAATTTTATGGCAGTTATAACCTATTAAAATGCAGTTTTTTCTCTTCCTATATAATTCTCCTTTTTACCGTATATTTAATATGCTAACATGATTGTTAAAATAGCTTATCAGTAGTTATATTTGGACAGTTCCTCTTTTCTGAGCTCAGTTTCTTAATAGCCTCATAATCAACAGGGTGTTTTTAGACAGAAATGATTCCCCTTCCGCCTTGTGTGAAAGTGCTGCTCTTGTTGCCTTATTTCCCCTTCTCTGTGCCCTTCCCACAGTCCTGAATTATTGCCACAAAATGTACAGGGTATCCTCACAATAGAAGTGGGATGTCACTTATATGGTGTGGTGCTAAACGGAGGTCCCTGCCCCAAAAGAGGGCTAAAAGTCATGTTCATAAAACAGGGTGATATATTTACAAATGGTTGCATTAGAATAGCCAGAATACCATGAGAAAAGGGGCTCCAATCATAAGAACCATTCCTCCATGAAGACCATATCCTTTTAATCAGACCCGAAAACCCAAGACGGTCCCAGAGTGTCAGCATATGGAAAGTGCTTTTTATTATTTACAAAAGAAGCAGATGGCACGTAACAGCTGACCATGGTGACTTAAGGCTGTCAAAGAGAGGATGTATACTCTCTATCCAAGCCCCTGGGTACACAATAGAATGACTCAAAAAGAAGTGTCCCGTGGAGTCTGTCCCACTGATTTCTGGAAGCTGTCTCAGAGGAGATAGGAAACTCTTTTAAGCCTACCTCCACTCAGCAATGTAGGCAAGGGCTCTAGAGGACCTGCCATCAGCTGACCCTCACCCTGGATTCTGTAGGATTCCTTACAAGGGCGGAGAACGTCTCTTCTGAGTACTTTCACCTGGCACCATAGCCTAGGAAACCCAAAGGTTTTTCCTCTAGCCAATTTTAGATCTGAAAGCCTACATGACAAGCTCCATGGAGAGTGGTGTAGTTTTCCCCCCCGACCTGACCACTTGCGGAAGCAGGTGGTGATTTCTTCCAAAACCTGTAACCAGGTGATGAGTTAGGGACGCCCAATTTATTTGCAATAGGTTTAAGTGTTATGATGATTGCCCTGGATTTATGAGGTTTATTTCAGAAACAAAACACCAACCCAAATTTATTTATCTCACAAAATATTTCTAATAAGAAGCATTAGATATTGAAGTCCAAAGTAACTGTGGCAGAACGATACGCAAGTTTACCATTACAAAATGAAAGCAAAAATATTGGCTCTTGCAATTACTGTGAAGACAAAATTGAAAAGTGTAAGTGAAAATGCCGTATTAATCTTATAAGGATAGGTATGGATATATAATATCTTAATTAGCCACTACATGTGCAATTCTAGAATTATCAATTAGATCGTGAAAGAATGTGGATTAGAAAACAAAGTAAAACATCACTAGCAGCATGCGTAAACTTAGAACAAAGTAAAACCGACATGTGCTTTAAAATCCATGCACTGTCATTTATTTATGCATGCTTTGGCACCATGAAGCATGAAATTCTCAAACCTGTTGAAAATCGCAAATCAAAGAGAAGAGCCAAGCAAAGAGTATGAGTAATTTAATCAGCTAGAATTCAAGTGTATCCCCAGTTCATTTGTTTTTTATTCATTTTCATTAGTTACATTTTTATTGTTTATCGCCAAGGTTGTGCATGCATCTTGAAAGTTTCACGAGAGGGCTACAACAGCAGGGGCTCATATTTAGGTTATCTGTTATATTCTGAATCCCAGAGAACTGACAGAAGCTGGAAATATTAAGTGTGGTGAAGAACTCTTATATCAGTTTCAACGACAACCGTTTTAAAGACAAGTACAGCTTCATTTGCCACAAAACCCACAAGAAAGTAATTGATGGAAGAATATATCTTTTTATGCAAAATATACATTTTAGGATATAATTAAATATTCTACTATATACCGACTTTTCTCTTTATTCATTTAATAAAAAAATACTCTCACTGCCAGAATTTTATATTTTTTGTATTTATAATTGAGGTAACAATGACAAAAAGACTTAAAACTATGAATAATGGTAATTTTTGTGTTTTTTTCTCTGTTTTCAGTCATAACAATTTATTCCAGAACTAAACAAGAATATGAATAAAAATAGGTCAGTTTGATAAGTAGACTCCAAAATTTTACATGACTGACAAGATGAGAACATAAGTAGTTTATAAGGAAATGATACAATGTTCATGTATCCAACTAACAAAATGGAAATAAGAGAAGTTAAGACCGACGTATACTACATCAATATTACTGTCTTGTGTAATTCGCAGCACAACCTACTGCAAGCCCAAAGGAGTGATGGACAGAGGTGCAGGTCTTACTTGAAGCTTCAGAGATGTTGACCGTGAATTTGGCTTCCTTTGGTATAAGATAGCCAAATTGAAGGACCCATGCACACATCGCGATATTTACAGTTGTTTCAGGAGCACTAGCCAGTCCACAGGTGTACCACGTATACGGGAGTACCGGATGAGCTCCAGTCACGGCTTTAATGTCTTATGAAGCCACAGGCCCTCTTCCGAGTGCAACCTGATCACATCAGCGGCAGCAGTCTGTTTCCGGTATAGTTCTTAGTACGGCTGGATGCACTGCCCCCTTTTCAGCGGAAAAAATTCCACGACAATTGTGTACAACACTGCAGTCAGTAACAGCAGCACCAGACAGTAGCTGAATTCCTTTACCATAGTTGTATGTGATTATAACTTCCTATTTGTGGTGTTATCAAAAGGATCACTGCATCTCTAAATATCAGAAATGTATGTCTGGGTAAACACATTGCTGTACAAGATCTCTGACATGCAGATCATGCTCTAGAATTTGGGGATACAGAGTCATACATGTTACGTGGCCAATGACAAAAATGGCAATTGTGTTTGTGACAAAAAATGCACATGAAAATCAGGAATTACTCAACAGGCTCTAGGATCTGGAATGCTTTAGGAATATCATTTATTCTTAATTATATTATGGCATTTTTCTTCGGTCTCTTGCCCAATACACCCAGACACACAATTGCTATCACATTCATAGAGATGTGTAAACAGAATTTCTTTCATTCAGACAGAAAAAGACTCCCTGGGGGTGTCCATAGAGTGTAATGATGAAGACACGTTGCTGGTAGTAGAAATTGACACTGCAGCAGGCAACCAAGTGCAATGGTGCTTAAATTGCTCCTTAAATCCTGCTTATCAAAAAGGTTCACAGCACTAATTAGCTTAGGTAGTCCACTGGGCATCATTGATTTATACACAAAGCAAACAAGCAAAGATATCCAGTACTAAAATCATTAACACCTTAACAAGGCATTTCTGTGCTTTGTGGAGACATATGGCAGATACAGTTAAGACAGAGAGTTCAGACAGACAGACAGACAACATACAGAACAAAGCACCTGATTAAACAAACACTTCCTGCAAATATGATTAATGCCGTTATTTCGAAATCTAAGACAGGTCAGAAAAACCTCTGCAAAAGCCAATGCTCTTTAATGTTTGAATATAAATTCATAAAATTAAAATAAATCAGGGGAGTAAAAAGATATGAGGTTTTTCAGAATAGTTCATATTCGGTCATTAAACATTGTGACAAATCCTGCCATTAAGGGGGGAAAATGCCACTGATCAAATGGTCATTTCTGGCTAAACAGTGAAAATAAAAGCTGGCTGAAAGTTACCTTTGCCTTACATGTTGTGCCTTCCCTACATCATGAAGTTACAGATCTGGCTCCACTTTGCGTGTGATCAGTAATAACAGCCTCTTTGCAATTATCTGTGTGCAAACCACCGCAGACATTTATGACTTGAATACAGAATTGTTCTTAAAGAAAAGTAAATCAATTGGGAAATTAATCTATTAAAAACAAACATTTCTTTCAGCTGATCAGGAAAAATAAATCAAGGAGAAACTTGGCCTTCCCATCCTACAATTCAAAATGCAGAATGGTAGACCAATGCTTTCATCTGTAGAATGGTTCCATGCTAGTTCATCTCTCAAGTTATCCATGGTCCCCAAACTCTGAGCCATTGCTCCCAGGTGACAGAGACAAGATGGAAGTGACCAAAGCCATGTTGAGTATAAGACAGGATCCCAGATATCTTCAGGATGGTTTGAAAAGTCACAAGGAATGAAGATCCAGTGAATGGTTGGCATTTGGAAGCACACAGTTTTAAATATATCTCCCTGAAGATATGTTTATGGATTAGTGTAGTGGCCAGTATTGATACTACCTGTCGTGTTATTGCAAAAGGAGATCAGGTCAAATAATATGGAGAAGGAGTAGCACTACCTTAGGTGAATTTTTAAAGCCAGGATACGATTCTTTAGCTACCCATGTGGGATTTCTGATTTTCAAATAGTCATGTCATGCAGGAGTTATACTTTACTATTGGAGCCTGAAGTAATGCTACTTTTACTTAATTCCATTACAGGGGAAACAGTACTTCACTTAATACAATTTAGCCAACTGATGGTTCGCTTTACAAGATAGATGGGATGGGAGATCGCGAGCGCCTCAAAGGACAAGGAGAGTTGTACGGTGACGTCACTGGAGACAGCCGCAGCGCACTGCCTGCCAAGCCCGCTATGTTGTTTAAGCTTCGCGATTTTTCATATCCTTTGATGAAAAAAATCACAGACATCAGTTGAATTCAACCAGAAAATAGATACAAACAAACATGCCTACAGGGTAATCAATGGTTCTATATTTTTTAAATCAAAGAAGGGTTGTTGTTTATTTTTTTTACAAAGAATTCATAGTAAGGCAATTTATAACTAAAATATGGAGCTCACTGCTGTTGCCATTCCTAAAAGACTAAAACAGCTATCATAAACTATAGTTTCTATGTTTCCAAATCGATTTTTCTTCAGATTACAATTAGTGTCAATTCAATTTTGACAGGTAGTATACTAAAGCTCCTCCAAAAATAAGCAAAGCAATTTAAGTAAGATATAAATTTGCTGCAGTTTTTAAATTTCAAAATATGTCCTTGAGAAATGTAAAGAAACAAAGTAAGCTATTTTGAAATCATTTTAGTATTATTTACTAAGTTAATAAACAATGCCTCATTTAAAGTGGCAATGATTTTTCCACCATATTTTCTCCTCCAGCATTATACTGTCAAAAGGATAATTAAATAATGGCATGCGATGTTTTATTCAGTTTATGTAAAATGATATCTTCATTTCTCATTTTACGGGTTAAAAAGCAAAGAAGAAAGAAAAAAGAGCAAGCTATAAATGGAGTAATAATTTCAGTCAAATGAAAACTGACCTCACATCTCTCATGCGCTACCTCACAAACTTCTTAGCCATGCCACCCAGAATTTGAGATCAATTTGATAATAATTCACATTCTATTTTTATTATCTTGCATTCTAATCCTTCATTTATGATAGCCACAGGTTTATGAACATAAAATCCTCTCACAAATTTTAATCCAATGTGTTTCTTTAGCTACTGGAGAAAAAAAGAGGCTTTTTATTATAAAAATTTAGTCTTGGAAACACGTAGGGGAATTTCGACTCTGTCCTATAGGGTAGCTGTGAGTTGTAATCCACTCAGAAGTGGTGAGTTTTGAGATTGAATTTCTCCTTATTCAGCAACATTCCGAAAGATTATTTTTTGAAAGATTCATGCATTGTACATTGTTTTTAATTAGAAAAGTTTGATAGGCAGTTAAGAGCACATGTCTGTAGTTCGAAGCCAGATTATTTTAAAATGAGGGCAACAATTGACTGGGGAAATAGTCACATTGCACACAAAGCTTTGAAAATACATGGTCACCTTGTGACAGCTGTACTGAAAACAAATTACAGATAAGAAAATGGCATTTCCTCTGTAATTGTATGCACGTGTTATATTGCGTGCAACTGATTAACTAGCTAGAGTAACCAATGATAGCGTAAGGGAAAAATAAAAAAGAATCTTTCTTCTCAATATTACTTTTTTCTATGGTTCTATCATTCTTGGATCTTCTTAGTAGGAGTTATTGTTTTGTCTACTCCTTTGCCTAGAAAAGGAGAAGTGATCTCCCTATTATTTGATTTATGAGGGCCGAGAGCCTTATCTCTCATTTCATTCTGGGAAATAGTCGTCGTATATATGTTCTCTCCTGCCCTTTAACCTCTGATCTTTCTTACAATCTCTTTACCTGCAAAGAAGGCACAATGTCACATATTTTCTTTCTTTCTTTGTAGTCAGTTTTTCTCCCACTAAGTATTTATTAGATGCATTCAGGAGAAAAGAGTGTAAAGTTCTTTTTAGTCTTGGTTATGGACCACATTGTCCAGTTCAATTTTATATGCTAATATAATTATAATTATAATCCATATTTTTCTTAGTATATAAAAGATTTACAAATAGACGCAATATGATGAATGTCCCTTCCTATATAGACACACATAAACTCTCAGCAAGCTAGTGATCTTTTTTTGAAATTGTATACATGGCAACTGTGGTAATTACATAATCTGGTGTCAATATGGAATTTGAGAGGATCAAGAGTGAAGGGGTGGAGTCTAGTTTGTCCATCAGGTGATAGCCAAGGAGGCTTCTTTCTGTGTGGGCATGGCCTTCTCCTGAGAATTCTGGGAATTCCAATATTTCCTCCTTGGAGGTGGGACAGACTCTCTCGCGATTCACTTCTTGGGAGACATTGCAGCTGACAACACACATGGAACTACCTAATGCCCTGAGCTGGAGAAATGTGGACCAACCCTGATGCAACCAGACCCCTGAAGCCAGCGAAGTCACATGGAGACCCCTGCCAGCACTGAGATGCTCACAACACTATTGGATCCAAAAACTTTCTACCAATTAGCCTGTGATCATCCTGAGTTCGGCGTCATTGCATGTGTTTCGTGAGTCTGAACAGGACTTTATAGATTGGTATCGGACATAGGGGCTGAGATCGGATTTAAGGGCTTAGACTGGACTGGGTTGGGATGCTTTCTTAATGTACAATTGCCCTTTATATAAAACTCTCTCATATGCATATACATTTCTATAGATTTGTTTCTCTAGTCTACCCAGACTAACACAGCAAGGAATGCCCTCTATTAACAATGCTCATGCCTCTGGGACATCATCTTTACTAATGAAAGAATAACCCTCCAACATGTCTTTCCAGTATTCTAGCTATAAAAAATAACTCACTGCCATTGAGTTGATTACAATTCAGAATCACCTCGTAGGACAGAGTAGAACTGCCCCTGTGGGTTTCTGAGGCTGTAAACCTATACAGAAAGAGAAAGCCTCATTTTTCTCCCTCTGTGTGGCTGATGGCTTTGAACTACTATTCTATTACTAGGTTTTTTCTGTACTATGACAAATGTGGATTATAGAACAGTTCAACTCATAACCCCTTCATCACCTGAGGTGATGCTAAAACATCATAGAAACACTCATTAATCAGAAATATCAAAATGCGACACTATTATTCTTGTCTTATCCTCCTATGTCTATACACTGGGAAGATGGTGTTTCTAACACTTCCCTACAGAATTCTGTATTCTTTGATTTACACCAGGTCAAAAAGTAGTTTGAACATCTTCAAGGGACTCAAATCGTGTTCCTTTTAAATGTTCTTGAATTTGGCTGACAGAAAAGATGTCTGAAAGATCAAGATCAAGGTTGGAGGGTGAATAGGGTAAGGCTTTACAATGGTATTCTCTTGGAAAGATCCAGCTACGCTCAAAGAATGTGCGGGGTCATCTTTGTGATGGAAAAAAAAATTCAGCATAACTTCCCTCGACTTGTTTTCACCACTGTAGCTTCAATTAAAAAAAATACATGTCTCCTTATAATAAGGCCGCAGGACTACCCTGTGTCCTTCTGGGAAATTTATAAAGATTACTCCTTTGATAGCTCCCAATGCAGGCTCCATCATCTACATGTAACTGCACGAGGAGATTCCCCCAAAGCCACGGATTTCATTGGACTGGGTTGCCCCTTACTTTCTTTTTAAGGCACTTGAACTTGTCTAAGTTAAATGTCTCACTGGGAGAAGAAGTCTACAGCCCTCTGCATATTGTGTTTGAAATAAATTTGCACATATAATATATAAATTGGAACTGTGGTAAAAGTGTTTTTTAACTTACCCTTATATTCCATTCTACTATAAAATACAATAGAAAAGTTAATGGGAGAATGTCTTAAGTAATTAATAAAAGAATTACTGATCCTTTACATGTCCCTAGTGGGCTACATTTTACTTCTTTTAATTGGAAATTGTACTTCTCTAAATTTTCTTAACTTAATATAAAATTTGAGGAGTTGTATAAAGAGTAATTCATGCTAAGAATTGTATGATTATATATTGTAAAAATATGAACCAGGCTATGAAAATTTCAATGTACATGACAGCTATGCATGGCCAAATGGGTTGTTAATATGTATAAATTATCATCATGAAAACATAACTCCCACATTCTCTAAGATCCCTTACAAGACCTCCAGCAAGATTTCACAGTCCTCTTTTAATTATGAAAGTGTTATGTTAATCTTGCTTGCCACTCTTAATTCTGAATTATAGTGTTTAACACAAATATCATGGTGCATTAATCAGTCCTTTTATTTGTAATAGTTATCATTTCAGTGTACATTTGACAAACTTCCCTCCTAATTTAGTAACAAGCACTTAATTAGTAAAATTATTAGTTCCCATATACATTTGCTTTATTTCACAAGTTTGTTCCTGATTAGAAAATTTGACAAAATTTTCCTTAAGCAGTTTTACTGGAATGGCTGAAAATATAATTCATGAGATTAAATAATATATATAAAATTAAAACCACTTATCCATGTACTATTTAAGACTATATTTTAATATATATGATATTAATTGCTATATACATGAGAAATGTGTTCTGAGTAATGGTAAAGTAATAAAGTTTTCAAGAAACTTTTTAAAAGAATATCAAAGTATATTCATGATTAATAATAGTAAAATAATTCAATGGAAATTCAATGATATTATATCCAGTCACATAAGTGAAAACATTTAGAACTGTAAAATAAAATCAGTAGACAGATCAACTTCAAAAGTAAAAGAAGGGCTCAGATAGGAAATAAATGTATAAGTTATAATCATAGAGAAATTACCTACATAAAAGGAAATGGGGCAATGGCTGAATTTGTATTAGACATGACAAAACATCACTCAAGAATGTTGAAGTGAAGTTAGACATATTAGCAGACCTGGAAAATAAACATAATTGCACATAACTTTGACACATAACTGCAAAAGAAATAAGTAGAGATGGGAAAGATATTGATCATAGTAAGAAACAACAGACTAAAATCCTTACTCATGAATTTTCAAAGATATTATTACTGATGAAGGAAATGTTCAATTTTGAAATCAGATTGCATGTATAAATTTCCCAGGCAAACGAAATATCTCATTAATTGCTTTGCTCATGACCCTTAGAGTACAATTATATATCCACATTGTGCTTTGTAATTTGCATAGCCATTCCTCATCTACAGTTTACTCGGCAATTAAAAAATTCAAAATATTGTCTAACATGAAAGGAAAGAATTAAATTAGGTATTTAACACATAGACTTGTCATAAATATTGTATGTGATACACTGTTGATAATGTTTAAAACTCTATATAAATTTAATCAGGTACTACATATATAGGCACATGTATATGTACAGGCATATAGAGTGATTTAAGATATGTAAAGTTCTATATAAAAGTAATCTATCATACATATCATCATCATCAATTAATATTTGTATACATAGTTAACTCAAGTATTAAGGTAGAATTTACTTTCTTCACAAAATATTTTTCTTTCAATATACAGTATTCAAAATAACCAGTAAAGAGTAAAATAAGCCTATTCAGAAGTTGGCAAATATAGTTGGATTCAAATAATAGATGTAGAGAATGGAAAAGTTGAAATGCAGAAATTTAAAATATTACACAGTAAAAAGAGAACAGAGTCCTTTGTGTCCTCTTTTGAAACTCAGAGGCATGGAGGCAGAGAAGGATAATATAAAGTGATAAGAAGAAATAAAATATGAGATAATTTAGAGGGAAACGGTAACAAAATAAATATTTCAGGTTTAAAATATAAACATTTAAAAAGAAACTATGATAGCAAATTAGGATATTTTAAAAATGTAGTCCCATTGAAATGAAAGTTTGGGATGAGATTTTCATTCATATATAGTCAACTACTATAGTAAATAATTATAATTCATTTCTCCTTCTGGTACTAAACAATAAAAAACCTGACAACAAAGCATTTGGAATTATCAAAATAGGAGATAATCTATACAAATGCCAGCCCTTTTTTTAAAAAAAACAAAGGTGGGTTATAAGTCCCACAAACCCGTTTTCCAAAAGAATTTTAGAGGGAGTACAAGTTGTCTGAGCTCTCCTCTCAGACCTTTTGCTTATCAACAACAAAAACTGCTTAAGAAATAGTGATCGGCAATGGCCGCTCCCTGGGAAAGGAACCAGGTGATGAAGTGGCATTTCCACGTTTCCACACATATTATTTTCTGTGAAGATGTCAGCCCAATAAATATGTCCTTAAGTGACAACTACTTATAAAGTCTCTTTGTTTGCAAGGTACTGGACAAGTATGTGGATAAATAATAATAAAACTAAAATTTTCATTATTAGAGAAATTCTGATTCACAAATGCGTACGTAGTCTTTCAAGTCGTTCGATATATTGGGCTGTTTGACAAACGACTCGGCCGTTGCAAACCTTGTGACTCAGATAAACCCCAAGAAACGTTGTCAAGCAATGAATCACAGACGAAATTAGAATGTGTTTAATGTGCTGGGGGGCGGGACTTACGATTGTTTTATAATCTTCAATTTCTCTTGAAATATCTACATACAGCCAAATAATGATTATTAGAGTTTTAACATATGTAAGGGGAAAAGATAATTTTTAAAATTTCTGAATACATTATATTAAAATAAGTGGATAAATGGCTGCCTTTTAAAACATTTGTAAACATTTCACGACAATTTTGCTCATAGAACAGTGAATATCAAAAACAAAAAACACAAAACAAAGTAAAAGAGCAGTGAAATAGAAAGATGAAATGCCTTCTAATTATGATAATCAAGTAGGCTGTTATGACACATATTTAAGAATGCTTATCATGTAGGAAGATGCCATGCATAGAGGACACCAGCACTGTTTGCAGTCTTTTCTAAAAATGATTGATTTAAATCACTCCATATGTCAGCAACAACCAATTGCTAAGTCACCTGCGATGATCTGTTTAGGAATGCCTACCTTTCCTGATCCCTCCATCAGAAGCACACGTGTAATCCCCTGTTGTCAGTAGGAAGCATGTTTCCCCTCTTCTGTTTTTGTCTCTGGTACTAGAACGTCTGATGGGGAGCCGTTCTGGGGGTGATAACGGCGGTTCACTTCCTGTACTGCCGTCACCTGATACAACTGGTCACAGCACCATGCCCACGTACAGACAGTGATGAATGAGGGAATGAGACAGTACAAAGAGTTTACACCGAATGCCCATTTTCCAGTCACTCCAGATACAAAACACAATAATCACATCACGATAAGAAAAGAAAGAATTTTCAACACTCAGCATAAAAAATTTAAATGAAGCAAAATGGAAATATATGTAGAAGAAGAGAGCTACTTTTTTTTCTTCTTTTTTGAAATTTCAATTCCATTCTGGAGTTTACCTGCTTTTGGCTTTTAATAAACTAATGAACTTAAAATAAGTGTGCTTAATCAAACTAATACAAACTCGAATAAGATTTTTAATGTGTTAATCTTACTAATTACTAATTGGTTAATCTTAATAATAAACTCGTAAATCTTTATCGTTCTTTTACAACATGTTTGTATTATTTTCTGAAAATAAATTTTTTCTCACAAAAAAATCTTTTAAAAAAATCCTAAAACAATTTTTATATCAGGTACTGTGTTTTGAAACGAAAGATATTTTAACCTTGACAATGAAAAAAATATCAGCCTTTCTAAATGCCCTTGAAACAACTTACTTCTATATGGTAGGCAAAGATTTTTAAAGTACGTATAACAGCCTCGATAACACTCTGTCGGGAGAATTATGTTCTGGTCAGAGCGCGTCTGCTCTTTTCCAGGGCCTTAACGGGGCTTTCTGCACAGGTCCTCTGCTGAGAGCAGCTCTACCCAGCAAACTCCAGCTTCTCAGAGATACTATGGGGGCAACAGTTGTCACTTAGTGGTTTAGAATGACTTTGTAGAACAATCAGATAAGGGAACCTAAGGGCCGTGAATAAAAATTAAACAATACTCTAAGCCAAGTCTTTTTTCTTTTTTTATTTCATAAATACTTCTTAATGCTAACAAGAGACATCAAAACAATTGATCTATGTATTGTGATGAATTGTATGAGCCCCAATAAATTGATTTTTTTTAAATGTCAATTATATATTTTGTGTTTGATTATTCAGTCTAATCGGTGTTATGTCTAATTGAAAATATTCACTAAAGATTGTCAGAAATAACTTTTCTACAGAAAAGAATATGTATACCTAAGTTTCAGGAATTCATATGTTTATAATTTATAAGTTTCATGGAATTTAAAATGTAATGGTAGGCTAATTAGAAGCTAATTCAATTGGTTAGTCTATAAAACCCTTCATCTGTACTACAGGTAAGCGACCAGAGATGATACTAACTGTCATCTCACTATACCTTTGGCAAATTAAGTATCGATGGGCTCTAGATGACTTATGGTAATAGAAGGGAAAGTGATCTTTCCCATCTCAGGCAGTAGTAAAGCATACACAATTTAGTTCCGGAAGTGCATAGTGCAAAAAAAGGGAAAGAAATTCCTTGAATGATAACTGTTATATTGATTATCTAAAATACATCACCTGTTTTATTAATGGCTGGTTAATTATGTGACACTGAGATAGTCTACCTAATTTAAGAGTATGAAAATTTAGGCAATCCTCCAGAATATTACTAGGAAAGAGTTTTGTTATTAAAAGGGCATCTCCCATATCACCTCTCTGATATTTAGGCCTTTGCAATGAAGACATCTACTTTTCTTGGATAACCATTTCTTGTGGATTATCTTGAGGTGCACACCCCTGTGAGGTAGAGGTAAAACTGAGACAAACGCATTAAGCCAAAACAGTGTGGAGAACAACATTTTGAAAATGAAGGGTGGAACATGGCCAATATCATAGCATCACATCGTGCAGGGAAACAAAACATTGGCACAAGAGCAACAAATGGGCAAAAGAAAACATTGGCACCATCAGCAAAGGGCATTCCCATTAAAGCAGGAAAATTCTATAGACCAACTATGCAAATTATGACTCGAAATTCATTTCGAAATGGTGTCATCCAGTCATCTACAAGCCTGACACATGCAGAAAGGTTTTGTGAAGGGGGAGGGCAGAGAACTCAGGAGCGCTTGCAAAAAATAAGAATGGCTGCCTTCGACCTAAGACACTGGTCTATAAAGCATTTAATAGCATGCATTTGGAATTGTGTCTTACCTGATCTGTTATGTTCCAGAAGTAGATTGTCTTTGCCCAGACACATGTTGCTTTGTGTGCTGTTGCAGGCCGTATTTAACTCCGTCTTGCCAAAGGAAGGTGAACCTGCCTGGGGGGCAGGAGGAATGTGCTTCTTTCTTTTTCTTGGGAGTTTCTGCTTCGCCATTGCCAAAGAGTAGTACATTCCAAAATTGTTCACAATCACAGGCACTGGCATGGCTATTGTCAACACTCCGGCTAGCGCACACAGGGCTCCTACTAGCATCCCTGACCATGTTTTGGGGTACATATCCCCATAGCCCAGGGTAGTCATGGTCACTACAGCCCACCAGAACCCAATGGGAATGTTTTTGAACTGGGTGTGCTCACTAGCGGAAGGATCGTTAGGTTGAGCTCCTACTCTCTCAGCATAGTAGATCATAGTAGCAAATATCAAAACTCCAAGAGCCAGGAAGATTATCAGCAGCAAAAATTCATTAGTGCTAGCTCGAAGCGTGTGTCCAAGCACCCTCAGGCCTACAAAATGACGAGTGAGCTTGAAGATTCTCAGAATTCTCACAAACCTTACCACCCTGAGGAAGCCAAGCACGTCTTTAGCAGCTTTGGATGAGAGCCCACTGAGTCCCACCTCTAAGTAGAACGGTAGGATGGCCACAAAGTCAATGATATTCAAGAGATTTTTGATGAATTCAAGTTTATTGGGGGAGAAAACAATACGGACTAAAAATTCAAAAGTAAACCACACCACACATACTCCTTCTACGTACGTCAAAGCAGGGTCGGTTTCGATTTCATACTGTAGAACACTTGTGCCATTGATGACGGGCTCTGTCTTGTTTCTAATAATATTGAAAGCTTCATGGGTCTCCAGACAAAAGGTTGTGATTGAAACCAGGATGAAGAATAAGGAAGCAAAAGCAATAAACTGTAGGAGAAAAAGAAATAAAGAATGATATAGACCATAATATACATTGATCAGAATCTGAGAATCTGACTCTGTAGATAAAAAAGCGGGACAAACACATTTGGAGATTTCACTTGGAATGTTA